TTTTAAAACCTAAAGTACTGTAAAACAGTCTACCCTTTTACAGTGCACAAATGCAATGCATGCAGAGTACATGTAGGGATACTAAAATACTATATGAGCATCACTGCAGTAGACATTAAATGTCTAACATGGACCAACGCTTTACAAAGGCAAGCATGTTGATGGGGCACTTGGTATACAGCAGATATCACAGTTTTTCTTAGTTTTGCTGTGGTATTATCATTAGCAACTAGTAGATATAAAATTTAATCTTAATATGTGTGCATTATAAAAACAAAGTTAAATTATAACATTTCAACAGAATGAATGGGGAATAAGAAGGTATAATCCTGCTTCACTTTGCAAAATTTACTGATGTTAAAGGAATTTAGGCATTTAGATGACAGACCAATTCTTACTATTTTCACATTAATAAAATGCTGTCTGATACACCGTAACATTAAGCAAGACAAAACCAGCTTATTAAATGCTCTACAGTAAAAAAAAGCAATGTAACTTCTTACACATAGTGTAAGGAAATGTTTAGTAAGCTTACTGGAGCAAGTTTTTCCTAACAGTGTACTATATACAGTACAGGCTACTACAGCCACTTTTTAGAGCTAAAAGCTCAAAATGCTTCTATAAGCCTTCCTCAGAGGAAGGCTTACTTTGGTAGATTTGAATCGGCAACACCGTCTCAACTTACAAGCACTTCACATTTAGGATGCATAATTAACTCAGGAGTCAGCACCTGCTGTTTTTCTTACTATTTTAATTTCCCTGCTGAACCAGACCAGGCAGGTTTCGCTTTCAGCTCCGGTCATTCTCAGAGGTGAGGAAGCAGTTGAAAGGTAAGGGTGGTTTTGCTATTCAATACCCCAACAGCATTCTATAAAATTGGTACAAGGCATAACTGGTGCCTTTTCTTTTGGAGCCGCTTCGCTCCGTAAGTGCCAGCCAGCCCATGTTACAATCCAGCTCTTTTTGTACTTTTTGTGCCCCAAATCCATATGGATGTGGTGAATTTCAGTGCAGACTTTCCGAGTTCAAGCAGAACTCTTTACCTGGCTGAAGTCACCCATTTGCCTGCGCAACTCGGGCATAAATACCACTCAGGGTGTCACTGCAAAACTTTGTTAAAGTCAACCCTTTCAGAATTATGCAAGTCCTTTCCCTCAGTCATAAAAAAAAAAGAAGACTGAATGCACAGGTGGCAGTGGAGCGTTACATTACCAGCCAGGTAGTGGGCAGAGCTGTTAAGATTATCAATAAAGTAACATGAATGGAAAGGATTTCTTAAAATCTTATTTGCCTCCAGTAGGTAATAACCCACATACACACATGGACATTCTAGATGCCAAAAACTTGAATATAACAATTTTATAACACACCCCATTTTAAGGGCCAGCAGTCCTTGCATTTTCTTTCTAAAAATTTACCTTCTATTATGTAGCAAAGTAACTACAAAGGTACATACAAGAAATTGAAAGCACGTCTTCAAGAGACCACCCACATTTAGGCACTTTAGTCTACAGTGTACAAAAAGAATGCAATGTTACTGTAGGTTGTTTATTATTTGTAGTATTTGTACCTAAATATTATTCATATTAGCTAAAAAAAACAAGCAAACAAAAAAAACCCAAAAGACAAAAAAACCCTGCCAACCAACAAATGCCCACAAAACCCCAACCCAAAATAGAGCAACTCCCCAGCTTTTCCAACATGTGCTGTGCTCTCCTGTTCACAGATCCCCATGAATCTCCAAAGCATAAAGCAAACAAGACAATTTGTTTTGAAACAGCAGGTAATGCAACAGCAGTCAGGACAGGTCAGTATAATGCAAGAACAATTTTACACCATCTTCACTGCAAAGCATGAAAGTCTTAATACTTGTAAAGCTGTAACTATAAAAGTTGTATTTTAACAGTAATTTAGCAATAAGAGGAAGCTAGAATTTACATAAATAACATCAGTCTTTCCCATTAGGCAAATACTGAAATGAAGGGAGGGGGGTCTTTTGTTCTTCAGTTTGTTCTAGAGGGGGAAGTATTATGTTTTTCACTTAAGACAAAAAAAGACTATTAACAGAACAACAACACGGAATTTATGTGTGTTCCCAGAATCAGAGACATATTTAAAGTAAAATATTTACAACGTGGAGGATGTTCCCTGTGCAATTTGTAACAAGTCTACCTTATGAGAGATTTTAGGCTTAAATTATTGATCAGTATCTTTACATTAATATTTGCTCACATAAATGGGAAGACTGAAACATTAGACAAAGTTTCCTGTGATTGCTATTACAGAGTATTTCCCCATATGTATTCCTCCTAGAAAACCTTACATACTGAAAACATGCAAATCTGTTAACAATGGGACAAAGGAATGATTGAAGACAAGAAAAATAAAAACCGTCTGTTGGCATGTCATGACATGGGTATGAACTGTACTTACAAAATAAAAATTTGTGCGTTTTTCTTTGTCCTGTGTTTTTATCAAAAATACTAGAAATATGTACTCTTGAAGATTAAAACATATACAGGAAGCAGAGTTACAATGAACAGAGGAAAAGACAACAAGGTTGACTTTAAGCACAAGGTATTTTAACCTGGGTTTTTAAAAAATACTTAGCAGCATCATAACATAAACAGAAATAGCCTAAGGACTTTGTACAAAGCTGCTCTCAAAACTCTACTGAGGTGTTTGTTTTATAAATAGCAGTGTCATATGGATTGCATGTTGTTGAGAGAAATGCTGCAAATCCAAACAAGGATTCTTGACTGATGCGTGTTCACATATGGAAAAAGTTTGGTATTTACAGGTGGTTTTCACACTTCAATATAAAACTGCATACCTGTTAATACTTCAGTCTGGACATCAAGTTTAAAAAAAAAATTTAGTGTAGAAATATTTGACTTCAAGTTGCAGGCACTGATATTAATTAAAAAAATGAAAATATGATTCATGGTATCAGGATCAAAAATAATTTCCATTAAAAACAGCATTTAAATCAAAACTATAAAAATACATACACACTGGCATGCAAAACAATGTCCAGTGCAGCATTACTCTCCTGGCAGTCCACAGTGAGAGACTTGAAAAAGTTAACTGCAGCATATACATATGTCAGTAAAAGCAGCCTTGAAATAACAACTTGGCCTCATGATCTCTCCCACAGAGGAGGAAGACCTTTCTAGTCTAGTCTAGTCTAGTCTAGTCTTAGGAGTGGAGATTGGACATGCCACCCATTCCAGTGCATCAGCTGCCAAAGCCACAAAGCTTGGCAGACCTTCCTAAAGAAGCTGTGGAACAAAAATCACTCCAAAGCACAGACTGACTACTCTGCATCAGCCGGCTTAACTAGATCAGACATTTGGCTTCAATACTTGTTGCCTAGATGCTCTTCAGAGTAAATATCAGCGAGGTCAAAATATTGCGCTTAATTTACCATTTGGGATTTGGAACTCAGGCTGCAAATGCTGAAAATAACAGTCTTATTTACTCATAATGGTAAACATTCACATTTAATATTTGATTTAGGATACAAGTGACCTGCTGTTGCCTTCCTCTATTAAGATTTTGCTCAGCTGTAATAGAAAGATTTCTTCAAGAGAACACACAATTTTCTTTCACCTCATATTCACTCAGCATTTCCATTTTCACCGTGCACTTAATTCTTCAACCTTAACTAAAACATTCTAGTAACTTTGTAGTGACAAAATGAACTGTGGGGTTATGTCTAGAATTTTTGTGGCTAAACAAATAAATGCACAGCTTGTGTCCTATGATAAAACATGAAGCATAGTATTTAAAACTGTTCAAAACCTCCTCTTGAGAATCAAGCTACTGTTCAAAAGGAAAACAGGCCTTTTAAAATAAAGATGCAAAAAGCCTTTTACCTTGTAGAGCCTTCCAACAGCTTTAAGATTCAATACTTTAGGTTTCCTATGTGGTAAATCCAAGACCTCTATTACCATTTAGCTGTAGTTACTGTGACAAAATACAGAACTTTTAATTGTTCCTCTGAGGTTGGTTGAAATTACCGTACTAACCATTTTATACACTGAGGTTATGATGCCTAATTGCTGTGTTCGTGTATCTCAGTGGCATTTTTGATCGTAGGTGACTTTGACTTTACAAACCAGGTAAGCACACATATCTATTCACATGTCCTCCAGTACTTGTGACTCAAAGAAGGTGAAGAACTGCCATATAAATGAATTTTCTAAAGTTTGTCCTTCTGTACAAGGATGTTCTCTTTTACTGATACTACCTGTTTTCCCCTGTTACTTCATCTGTTGATTCTTATGCAAGAAAAGTCTGTGAGAGGAAAAACTATGCAGTTAAAAATACCTCAAAACCTGGCAAATCCTATAGCTTGAAAAGGTATCAAAAGAGGACAAGTGCTGCCTGAGAACACTGTCTACAAAGTGGAAGAACAGGCTTGTTACAGTCCATTCTTATTTTCCTAATCAACTTCTCTAAGCTCAGAAATAGCCCAAGTGTTATGTTTGGACTTCCCTGAACTGATGGAAGACTTTGATTTTTCACTATCTTAATACTTTGTCTAAAGAGACTCCCACAACAAAAGTGCAGTGTTTAAACAATCATTAACAAATTTGTTCATATTTCAGCTGGAATTCAAAGTCATTTAAACTATTTAAAGGAATTAATCCTTCACAAATATATTAATTTAAACAAAAAAAAGAATCAAAATACAATCCTGAACTAATTTAGCCCAGTCAGTCCTGTGTACAGAATGTAGGGAAAAAGTTGTGGATAGGAAAAAGAAGTCAAGCTAGCAGGTGATATTACTGGAGTGAGAAAGGGAGATCTGAACTGAGGAAGAAAGAAAGAAATGCTGATTCTTTGTCAAAGGCACCTTTCCTTCTAAAATCTCTCACAAATTAAGTATGCACTGGGAAAAAAGCAAGACAAAATGTTTAAGAATCCTGAATAAAACCTACTACCCTTTCAGTCATGTTTTACCTGCTTTTCCATTTCTGTAAGATGCTTTTCCTCCCCACACCCCCCAAGAGGGGGGGGGGTCGCCATGAAAAAAAAAAAAAAAAAAAAAAAAAGAAAAGCATTTGTCAGATGCTGTTTTAAAGTAACTTACTAAAGAAGTGAGCAGATACTCCTTTGAAGCTTACATAATATACATGGAATTCAGGACTACCAGGGTTGCTATTTTATTTTAAAAGTCACTTTTGAGCATATCACGTAGTCGTAGGAAGCACTGTTCAGAACCATAGCAATATGCTCCCTCTAGTTTCACTGTCACCTCACACTTCAAAGACATTTATTGATACAGTTTAGTTTCTAATAAGCCTCCTAGTCTCATCTAAGGATTAAATGGATCCAAAGAAAGACCATCTCCCACACGGATCAGACTGCTGACCAGAAGGTCAACCATTCAGTTCTGTGGAACAATGAAACAGCAATGGCTAGAAGCGTTGATCTTAATGTTAGCAACATCCAGGTGCCTATTTTTCACTGTGATCAGTGTGACGTCTGAAGAATAAGACAGCATGAGCTCTTACAAAAGCTCTGTGAAGCTCAGCTACACACACAATCAATTACCTTTGCTGAACGCATTATTATGTAACTACAGTTCAGTTTTATTTTTGAACTTTCAGAATAAATACCTATGCCAACGTAAACTGTTACTTAACATTATTTTGAAGTCTTCTCCAGTATCCAAAGTTTATTCCTACCTTTCTGATTGCAACAGTAGGTTATATCCCCTATATAGTGAGTTTCTTCAGGAAAGTTCGCTATCAAACTGCACTATATTGTTTTCCAGAATAAAACATTAACATTGGATACCTAACTATAATTTAAAAGCTGGCCTTATTTATACTACTAGTAACATTACATCTCAAACTAATAAAAAGTGGCTCCAGTACTGCTGGACCTGTCATATTTTGTCATTCTATTCATCTGAAAGACATTTCCTAGGAATGTTTTGAGATTTGAATCTATGAAGTCAAATATTTTTCTTCAGGCCAATTTGCACAGTTAAGCCTTTGTCCCTGTTAGTTATGAAAAGTTGTTTTGAAAAAACAAAGCTTGCAGCACCAGTAGCACTGAAATACTACACTGCAATGAAACCAGCAGAATCATGCAAGGTGTTCAGACATCCTAAACTCATGCAGTAGGTACTAGCTGGTGTACACAAATCTTTCCCCATTATCACTAAATGCAATTTAATAAACTAATAAATAACTTAAAAGGCATTCAACGTAGTAAGACAATTTATCACCAGCTTAACTCTTGATTTTCTGCATTCATTGACAGTTTGTTTTCCCATATGGTAGGTTTGCTACATATTAAATATTTAGTTAAGCTTTTCCATTTATAAATGCTAATTATATGCCAAAGCTGTACACAAATTCAAGAGAAAAAGAACAGTAACATAAAAACAGCTAGTATTAGTTTAAAAAACCCACTGACCTCTGCAAACTGTAATACTAACCTTTTAAAAAAGCTATTACATATAAATTCCCATTCCTGTTTTGCAGTTACACAAAACATCTGAAAAATTGTCATTCTACTTTGTTTTGCAATGGTTTTATACTTGGAATCTATCCCTCCAGGTAAGCAAAACTTGTAAAGTGAATGCTTTGCTCCTCCTTACTACAGGTGTTTTATTATATTGAAAATCTATTTCTGAAGCTAGGAGATATTAGTTGTTACTACATAGCCAAGTTAACACAGACTAGAGTGGCAAAAGATGATGATTTTACGGAGCAGAAATTTCAAGATTAACAGTTTAAGTAGATCTTTTCTTCCAAAAGAGCAAAAGTTCTTTAGTATAGCTACGTACCTTTGAAGAGGCACCAAAAACAAATAGCCCTTTCAACTGAACTTTCAAAAAAAATTTAATTTTCATTTCAAAAGGGATCTTGAAGTTACTAGATACACATACATCCCTCTCCCACGGCCCTGTAAGATACATTCAGTAATTTAAAATAAAGATTCCATATTTTATAACTTCATATATATTATATATCTAATATATAATATATATTTATATGTACATTACACAGATACATACACTCTCAGTCAGCAGGATTTAAATGTTTTGTTTTGAAATGATTGGTTTGATTGGTGTCACTAATCTTCTATTATTTTGTGAATTCAACTGAATTTATCTATTACCTAAAACCAGGAAATTTAAAAGATCCAAATGGAATCTGTGGATCAGTATTAGCACCAATACAAATGGCCATTACTTCAAAATGACTGCAGGGACTGAAATAATATATTTTTTATAACTCTCCTCTTACTGTACAAGCATTCCTGCAAAATATTTAGGCAGCAATACCTGTCAGGTCCATACATCTATTCCTGTTAAATTTAAATGGTATACAACTTTCTTGACTGTAATATACAGTAACTCTTTTGTCCTGTTGGATTATTTCATTTTTCATGGAGAAAAGTGATCTATAGCTATCCAACAGAATTTTTTTTTACATCCCCTCTCTCCTTCTATGGCTCAGATTCAAGATTTAATCGATAGGCAGCCACCATCACTATAACCAGTACCCTTCTAACACAGTTCAGTCACTGACTGTTGATGCTTAAAACACAAAGTTTTGAGGTCGGCTTGCTGTTTATGAAAACGAAGATACTCAAAGGTCGTATCATTTCAGCATGCTCTCCACCACCTGCCACACAATAACATCAGTCAGTCCTGATACTATAATTCAATTAGTTACCTACCATCTGCGTAACAAAAATAACAAACCCAGTTGTGATTTTAAACATTATAAGAATATTCACCCTGAGAACACAGAGGAAGTGTTTAAAAAAAATTCTGATATGTTTTCTCTTCCTATATAGTTTTCTTCTTTTCTCTTCATCTCCTCCTGGGTACCTGGGTTTGTGTCTAGCATTTGATCTCACACTTGTGTTGTCAGTTGACCTGTTCACGCCACAGTCAGGTACTGGTGATAGAAAAGCCCAAAAAGGCTTGTAGAAAAGAGGCAAGCAGCAATCCACCAGGTGAGGAAAGACAGGAGACCTCGGAACAGCAGAGGAGTGAAAATATTCTTCAGGCTTCCCAAAGCCATTGTTATTTGTACTACAGTTACTTTCATCTTTCCATCAGCAGGTGGAGACTCAGAATAAACTGAACTGGGAAGCAGACTGTTTTCTACTGGAGTGTCAGAATTCAATTCTGGGTAGATGACCCAAGAATAATTACCTGTTAAAAAGAAACGAGTAACAGATTTTTGTAGAATTCAAATTCTGTTATTTCTATCACTTTATAGATCATCTTATATATTTTTACACACACACACACCAAAACAAGAAAAAGAATATTTTTTTTCTAAATTAGTCAATACTAACTTCATCATCTGCATGGCTTCCTGATCATACTAGGAAGCTATTAGGGTAGCATTCATCTAATTTTTTGACATCCTAACATCTATATGTGATACAGTTGTTGTGGGACCCCTGTCAGTACTGGGTACGATTCATCTCACCAGATGCAGATGTCTACTCCAGAACTGGATGAATCACAGCCTAATAAAGCCTATCTCTTTCGGCTGACATTTTGCAAAAAGAATACCACGACTGCACGGCAGGCTGTAAAAAACATCCCTCACAAGAAAGAAAAAAAATAAACAACCCAGAAGGACATCAGATGTCCCAATAATGAAATGAACCCCTTGTCTCACAATTTCAATTCAAAAATCCTCCTGAAGATTGAAAAGCTGAAAAAAAATCCTTTAACATAAGGTTAAATCAACAATGCTTTATACAGCTCACTTTTAAAGTACTTTTTGAAAGACAAGTATTTCAACAAAAGGAAACAGCTTAATTGGTTGTATTACACAATTTCTCACAAATAAACCAAACAAATTAGCATATAATTGAAAGATGTCAAAAGCAGCAACAGGACTGCTTCAAAGCCACCCATCAGTATGTTTTAAATTGCCAGCAAATATAACTTCTGTATTGCAAGTACCCATGCATTCCAATTCTCTTTAGTGAGGTAAATATATAAAATCCCTGTGTAGAACAGAACACGTTTTTGCTGATCCAATTTTGCATACCTAGTGTTTTCAAGAGCAGAGTTGTGTGAAGGAGCATTACCAATGGTGCAACGTACTGCAATGCAATTACACAAAGATAATAGAACACACGAGCCACCTGGGAAAAGAGAAGAGAGTAATTCATGAGTTCTGGCTGATCAAAGCAAACCTCTATGAACACGTCTAGGAAAACCAAGCAATTTATTAAAAAACAGCATTTATGCATTAAAGCTGTTTTAAAAGTTTTCTAGCACATCTTGGCATGTGACATACAGTCTTTAAAAGACCTAACAAAGAAATTCCTATAATGAACTCTAGTTTCAGGACATTTACAAATCTGAGATGAAGTGCTGAAAGGAAATAATTAAAAACATCACTTCTGTTAAAACAAACAGAATCAATTTTGCTTCTGCAAACTGCATGTCATCATCCAAAGATTCTCATTTCAATACACCAGAATCAAAGCTAAATATATGTTTAATTTTTAAAGTCCTCAGTGATTTACAAACTAAATCCCATTTCAAAAATGAAGTAGTAGTCACAGACCAAAGCCTCAAAAAATAAAGCAAAGTTTGGTTAATACTGCAGTCCCTTTTCAAAGGCAAGATATAAGATTTCCAGCTGTGAGACACCAACATTTAAAAAACAGTGACAAGATGATTTTTTCATTAGTAGTTGATCAATAGCAGCATTTAAATGGTCTTTATTTCAAGTATACATTATGGTTCATTGAAATCCACTCAGATGTATCCCTTCCACTGCTCCCAATCTGTTCCATCTTTCTCAAGATTGTTACATTACCTATTTTATATAAGCTATTGACCTAAAAGACTAGACCAAATAAAGAAGCAAAAAAGTCATAAAATCAGTAGAAAGCAAGCAATGAAATAAAGCTAACTGGATTTTAGAAAAGAACGGAATACAGGGTGGGAAAAGAGATGAAGGCAGACATGACATTTTTGGAAATACCTCTAAAACCTCGAAGGGCTTCGTGATGAGCAAGCATCAAAAAACTAAGATGAGAAGAAAAATTACTAATACACTGACAGAAGAAAAAGCATGAGACAAAAAATATTTTAAGATAATTGATGGAATACGATAAAGACAGCAAATCAAAAAGTAATGATCACTGTAGGATGACAGATAGGAAGGACTTTACTGGCAGAAGTTCCAGAAAAAGATTAAGCAAAAGTTGCTAGTAAAACAAGACAGGACTTCCATTTAGGGGCTATGGCCTTCTCAAAGAGAAGATACAGAGATACTGGATAAACAGATTTAGGAAACACCACACAGAGAAGACATTATTGTTTTACAGATAGGGTGAAAGCTCCCAGAGCTAAAATTATGCATTCACAGCAATAAGCACAGTTCTGTCTTAACCAGTTGCTGCTACCTGTATTTCCTAACATTTTTTCTGAAGCAGATTGCTAGCCACTTTGCTTTTAAATAACTACTGCATAGTCTACTTACTACCCTCAGTTCCTCAGTGAAGCCAAGGACAAGATTATACGTAATAGTGACAATCCCAAGAGAGGAATCTTTGTTTTATGGCATACTTCAATATTCTTCCTGCAATACACCCCAACTCAGCAGGATCATCAGGCAGCACTATCATGCAACACTAAAAATGTAAGTTTATGTTGCAGGCAACATACAACACCATTTCACAACAAGCTTATGAATTTCTACCTCCTCAATTTGTTGATGGTATGCTTTATTATGTCTCTTAAAAAAAAAAAAAAAAAACCCAACAAAAAAATCAAAGAAATGTTTCCTTTGCCACAGTAACAGGATGGGCAGACAGTTCTGTAACTAGGTTCATGCATTTCAGAGTGGTCTGACAGAACTAGACATGTCTCATTTCATTCTAAAACATAACCACCTTATCTCAAATTTTGCCTCAATTTAAAAAAAAAATCATAGTTGGGATTAGGTAACAGTGTTTTGCCCTACTATCTAAACTAAACTTTCTTTTTCCATGTTGTAGCTACAGATTAGGACTCACCCTGTGCACTCTTCAAGATCTATTCATGCTGCACAGGAACACATCATATTTGTACATATTTGTAAAGAACAGTTCATGAAGGGATCTTTTATAACAACTTCTGAATAACTTTAAGTCATCTGCATAATATGGATGATACATCTCTGCATAGTTTGGTTTGCAGAATTTCTCTGTAATTATGCTATTTTTATAGGAGATAAAGTTTAGAAAGGGTCATTCAGATTTCAGCTCTGGTGCCACAGAAGACATAACAAACGGGAAAAAAACCCATTTGTACAGACAGGGCACTCTAAATATGTAACCTCAGAGACACCATACTTACCATTTTCTGTAAATCAACCACGCTTATTCTGCCAGCTTCCTTTTTCATCTGATCCACACTTTTCTGGGCTAAATTCAGATAGGCCTGTAAATGATGACGCATCATAGCCAACCGTAAAGCACACAACAGGATTATAATCCACAACCTCACAGTATCAAATGTATCTTCTGACATTCTGTGGATAAAAAAAAAGGATAATGCTGTTTTCCAAAGGTCACCTATCGCTACAGTTAATTGTTTGTATCACTGGTAAAGAAACCTTGAAGCATGTTGTCAAAAATACTTAATGACCTATCTACAGTTATGAAATTCATATGCAAGTTATATTCACTTTTGCCCTTCGCTTCTCTCTACTGCTACTTCTTAGTAGCCCTACTGCAGCATTAGATACAAATTAGTATCCATTTGTCTGTAAACAAGAATGGCTCTTAAATGTTTCAATTCTGAGTAATGAAGATAGGACACTGACTCAGATAATTACAGGCTTCAAGACACAGTTGTAGATAGCAAATGTGTCCTTCAGTTGCCTTAGATACCCTGTTACAGCACAACCCTCATTTTAAGATAAACTGACAAACAAAATGGAAGCACAAAATATGTGTATTTGCAATGCGTTATGTAATAGTTCAGTGGTCACAGAATTACCTTAGAAGTATATCTTAAGTGTCAGCCAATCATACCTGTTTCAAGTCTATTTGAGTACTACTATTTTGAATTACCTAGACTAATACTGACAAGCACAACCACTGGTGCTACTTACATAGTATTTATTTCAAATACCATTCTTCCTGAAAATTCGTTCCCTTTTTATGTTTTAAATATTTTGGCTATCAATTCCATATGCACTTCACCTACACACAGATCTAAAACAAATTGCTTAGGTCAGTTCTCATGCCAATGTATCTTCACTGTCTTCAGCAAAACCACTTCTTTCCTACACCAAAAATATAGAAAGTTCCAGAAGGTGCCAGTGAGGTGGTATTCCACCCCTAGCAAGAACAACCCATCACTGCCAAGGAGATGCTGGAAGATAGCAGCTTTATGGGCACCACCACCTTAATGTTCAACACTCTGCAACTCATTCTTGTTCTTCTGAAATAACAGAAGCTCTTGAAAGCTCAGCTGCAACTTCCACAATACCTTTGACAGCAGATGCTATGAAATTTTAAGTCTTTCACATTTCTATAACTTTCACAGTGCACAATTTAGACCTGTTTTTTTAATTAATACCCCAGAAATAATTTTTAAAGGGAGTCTTACAAAGGGATGCTCTCTTTGCCCAAAGGTGGGTTCATAATGTAGTCCTTAGTGATTGGTTTTACCCACAGCAGAACCATAAATAAAGGTGCCAGGAAGTTTATATGTAGCAATGTTCTGAAAGAGAAAAGGGGGGAGGGGGGGAAGTTATTAAATACAAACAATTACTACTGTTGAAATGGGGGATACAGATTCAAAAGGAGAAATCCAAATTTTAAAATAGTTGTGAGAAACGTAACTAAGAAAATTGCTTCCCTATTTTATAGCTGTGACTTACTTTTCAACAAAAGAGTAATATTATACACTGTGAAGTCACACGGTTTGCAGCTTTTAAAAAGTGCTCTTAGACTACCTAAAAACTTGATTTATTCCAAATAATCTAACCAAAGGAGCTACCCGCATTATGTCACACTATTGTAAAAGACAGTTGAAAATTTCTGTATGATGGCATTAACACCAAACTGCACTAGCTATTACAGTTTTAGTCTAGAGAGTCAGAATCACACATAACTGTGGAAAATATCCTGCTATATTACTATTTTTTTGCTTTATCAAAAATGTCCTCAGATTAATTTCCATTATTTATACTGACCAGGGGAAACAGTTCTCAGAGTTCAGATTTCCCAGTTCAATTAAGATTTCTACTTAGGAACCCTGACTAAATGAAACCTGATGCTTACATTCAAGATACTTGGACAAAAAAAAAAAAAATAAAAAAGCCAGCACAGCTATTCCATTTTAGAAGCATTGCACAAAAGTGCACAGTTAATGTAAAAGTAGTACTCTCTCATAATCTTTGAGTACAAAACAGACACCAGAATTTAAAAAGAAGAGATAGCTTTCTGGAATTTTTCCTGAAACTAATATCCTTCATTTCTGAACCCCCTATCCCAGTCATTTTTCATTACTCATGAAACAAAAATGGTTGAAGAGTTCTGTGTTGTGGACCTGGTGGTTTTGATAGTGCAATGATTCCTCTCTAACTGTATCAGCTTGTCCATACTTCCACCTCCAACCAGAATGCTTCTACATTATAGAAAAAATGAGGTAATCAAAAGTTATTCTAAATAACTCAAGACCTTACTGTTTTCAAACTACCAAGCTTCCTGAAACCATTAAAGTGTTTGCATGTTTCAGAAGATGTCATCACACACATTTAAATCATTGGTTTCAGATGAAGAAATAAGCACTGCTAGTTATTCTGTGTTGCTAGGGAATATGACAGCATCAAAGAATAGTCCAAAACATTTCAGTGCCTTGTGAAAGCATTTTACCTGAGCTTCTACTTATTTAAGACATCCTACTGAGTTAATGGACTGGAATGTGCCAAAGGGTGGCAAGAATCCCTTTCTGTTTATTCGAGCACAGGGAGAAAGGCTGAAAGACTCTTGAAAATGAGGGAATGTGTACAAAAATGGTACAAATTGATTAAGACGACTTCAAAATACATGCAGAGAAGGATATTGCTGCTAAAGAAAAAAATTAGAGCAGCTATCAAAACTGAAAAGGACACCAGATTATTTTTACTCTGTTTACCCCCAAAAAAACTTACTCCTTACGTACATAAAAGAACCACATTAATAATTTTGAACGTATTAGTGAAGTAGTAGTTAATCATTAATTTTTTTTATTTTTTTATTTTTTTTTTGGTCAGTATTCCCTGTAAATTAAGTCTCCCATTCTGTAATGGAATGTGGGGTGTTTTCGGTTTTTTGGGGGTCTTTTTTGTTGTTGTTGTCGGTGAGCTTGGGTGCTGGTGAGTGTTTTAGGCATCTTTGGAGATTTAGAGGGTTTGGTTTTTGTTTGTTTCAAAAGTACAGCATGTATTTGATTGCCGAGAAAGGCACTGTTTTCCTGCACCTAAATTAGAGAGCTCTGTATTAGTGACACGTCATCTTCATTTACTACTCACCGTTAATCACTGTCAAACAACTGCAAGTAGTCAATAAATGATCTACTAATTCATAAAAACACATCATTAAAGGCAAATACTGATCTCTTCAGGCCAAACAGAACATATCATTTGACAATGATTCTACATTTATAATTTCATTAGCTAATTACATTGGTATCTGACCAAGTTTTAATTCATTTAACAAAATTTTTATATTGTTCCAGTTGAATAGTCAAAGTATTGGTGGACTTTTGAAAATAATTTGCTTGGTGTTGCACAAAGTTATCTTCAACAACCAATTCCAATATCCTCTAAACATTAGAGAAGATTTATTTTTCAGAAACCCATTCTAGTGGATATTAATTACCCTTCTGGTTCTTGTTTAATGGACTTCTTTTTCAGACATTTTATATTTCTACCTAGGATCTCATGTCCACAGATCAAGGAAGATGCTGGAAAATTACAGGATATTTACAGAAAAGGCAGAAGAAATTTTAAAATATGAAGAACTACAAAAATGAAAAACTAAGCAGTTTATTTAGCTGAAAAGAACAAATTAGGAAGTGACTCAGTCACAGCCTACACATAGACAGAAACTTAAGAGCAGATACAACAAGCCAACAGCTTGCAGCTGTACCTAGATGCCTTCAACTACAATAAGTGCAAGTATAACACAGAGTAGTACTTGGTTATAAATTTACCAAGAGTGAAGGACCCACTTTAAACACAGATTAATTTTTAAAATGGGCATTTCTGAGGGAAAACAAAACAAAACAAAACAAAAATGCAGTTCAAACATAAATAATTTTCATATCAGAAAATGTAACGGTTCTCTTAAGAAAGCGACCAGACTAAATGATCACAATGGCCTCTGCTGCAGAATCTGTCATTAATGTCTTAAACATCAAAGGTCTAGATCTATGACAGACATTTGGAGTTTATCCCTCAACCACAGAACACTGAAACGAAATAGTTAAACCAGAGAAAGCAATTTACTACTAAACTCAAGGACAACTGAAAATGAAAATACTCCCTTAGACTGGTATTAACATCTGACCCTTATCAAGTATTTTGGGTCATCTTTTTTTTCTATCTTACTCTTAATTTATTAAAGGCATGATGCCCACCTGGAGGTGGGGGTGGGGAAAAAAAAAAAGTCTGTGGCTGCACCTCTACTTCCCAAAAGTTATTTTAACTTCCGAAAAGATATGATGAAGGAAAGGAAGCAGTAAGCAGAAACATTCATGGTGGAGCTCTTGCAGGAGGAAAGGATAGCTCCTTTATTTGGGACTCTAATTACAAGGCAAAGAACGTAAAGACTGGCAGAGCACAGGTTGAGCAGAAAGAGGCAGGTGGCAAGTCTGCTCGAGATACGGAAAGCAGGCAGCAACAGAAGTCTTAGTCACTACCTTCTCATTGGAATAGTTTGCTTTGTTTATTTTCAGACATTAAAGACTTAAGACTGAGTAGCATATACCTATGTGCATATATTTTCTCTTACTGTGTTATTTTTTCTGTTGCTAAATTCAGAGCATCCAGATGCATTTGAGCCAGTCGCAAGCCAGGGAATGTCAAAAAAGCACCAATAAGTGAACACAGAACAGCCAGGAACAATTTGAAGGTTAGTTTAGACACAGGACCCCTAAAAGAAAAGAAAGGAAATAAGCATTTTCTTGGGGAGTAAGTTGGATGGGGGGGTGGGGTGGGGGTGAGGGTGGTATCAGAGACTACTTTCAACTCTACAATATCTAACATTTAATAAAAAAAGAAGACAGTATTCTATAGTTCTACTCTGGAATACCAGCATTATTACAAACCAATCAGGAGTTAAAATTAAAAAAAAAAGTCACCTATTTATTTCCTAGAAAAACAGAAAACCTAAGCTACTGCCTATAAGATGTTAGATTTGTTAGCAGAGAAAAAAAAAAAAAACACACACAAAAAAGGAATAATTTTATATTGTAATTAAAAACAAATTATATAAAAAAATAGCTAATAGAATGAATTTAATGATTATGTTTTTAAGAGAGGAACAGATGCATCATAAGTTTAGCTGGGCAAAGACAAAATGGATATTTAAGTTATATTACTTACATTCTACCTTTATCCACTAAAAAGTTCTATCAAACTGTTGTAACTGCAGTTTTTCACAGATTTATCTAAAACATACATGTGGCCAATTAACATATCTCTTCCAAGTGTTTATTATAGATGGTTCTAATAAAATATGGATTATAAAAAAAACTTACAGAAAAAAATATCCAAGATCAACTGAATTACGAAATTAACACTAGACTACACAAAAAAACCCCACAAATGACATGTAACTAACGCAGATTAAAGAGGAACAAAAACAAATCTAGTGATCCACATGAGTTTTCAGATTCTTTCTTAATCTATGTCATACAAACTACCAAGAGACACCATCATCAACTCAATTGCTGCTGTAAATAGCTAAAGCACTGTGAAAGCACAAAAATCCCCAAACACTTAACTGGAAAATTAATACAGAAGTTAGTAACTTGCAATAGCTTAGAGTGAAGAAAGGCTAAGAAACACATCGGATCCAGTTAAGAATCTTCCATGAGTTTATTCATAAATGACACTAATCTAGTTTGAGGAAACTTCTGTTCCTCAAAAATAGAGATTCTGTAGCTTCTGCATGATACTTGAGAGCTATCAAGCAAGAACTTCAAAGTTGTGCTCCCACAGTGATGAGACACCCCATAAATACAGTTTAGACCATATGTATAAGGAAAGAATTGTAATAGAAATCCATTTTACAATATACAGAGGCTGTCTCACAAGCTATGCCATGTTCCTTTGACAGTCTATACAACACTTGGATGTCCTGTAGCAAGAAGGTGTTCTTCTATAATAGGAAAACACTACTACAACCTGAGAACAGGACTGAACACCAAAATTTACTCCTAATGCCAACTTTCTCACAAGCTCCATCTGTAACTTTTGCACACTCATCCTCTTGCACACCACAGGAATGGCAAAAAATACCCATCATCTGTTTTAGGCAATCCTTGCAAAGCTGAAAGGAATTACCATGAAAAAAATGTTTATACTTTTGAATTGTATTTTATGAACTACAACCAAAATGTCAATGTAGAAGCTATCATCAAATTAAAAAGAGAAAACACAAATGAAATTTAAGTTACTTGTGAGTACTCATGAATTATTTTCATTAACCAACCTCTTCACACTATTATATAGAGACTATAAGACCATACAAGAGCAAAACATGCAAGACAAATGGTTGCTATGAAAATTCAAGTTGTTCAGTTACAAATGCACATATAAAATAGACAAATATATTTCTAGAAACTTACTGGGACTCCAAACCCTGCTTTTCCAGAAACTGCATAGCACTTTCTGAGAAATTTGAGAATCCTGCAGAAACAAATGTATTGTATGTATTTTATTACAGTGTGAATGCAGAAACCTTTTTTGGAAATAAAATGTTAGGTAATAGGTCATCTTTTAAACAAATTTTCATATGTCTGGCGTAGCTCTTTTCTGTGTTAATTAGTATGCCATATTGCAGTAAAACTTCATTATTAACTTCTGTGCTATTTGTACACTGCAGAAACATGAATAAAATTAACAGTATTTTTTTACAAACACAGGTATTTCTTTTTTTTTTTTTCCCCTCAGTAAAGGAGCTTCACTTTACTTTCAAAGACAAAATGAGTTAAATGTAAAACTGGAAGGCAAATATCAAAGAAAACAACCAACCTAGGCAGAGAGTACACTATGTAAAAGAAAGCAGGGAAAATATACAGGATATCCTTCAGAATCTGCATTCCAAAGGAAAATTTCTTAAAAGCATACACCTAAAAGACTGAAAATAACTTTTTCAGGTCATGCAATCACTAGAGCTATTGGAAACACTAAAGAAAGGAGTTACCTGATTCCAGTCCAAACTCCAGATACTTTTCCGTCACAATGAGAATTGCCATTGCTTTCACGAAGAAGAAGAATCCAAAGGTGACACAGACTGATCTTTCACCTCCATCCTCTACTTTGAAATAATGGGTAGTCAACGAAAACAGTACCTTACTACACAAGAAAAAGGTCAAGGAAAATTAAGTTTGTAAAATAACTATATTTAAGAACTATAAAGCTGTATTTTGGTCATCTATACTAAGGCTGTTCTATGATGCGCAATTTTTAAAAAAAAGTAATATGTGTTCAGCCAATTTCAGGTTAAAATTACAGAATACTGTAAAGCTCAATAATCGCGTAATGGGTAGCCAGGAACACACTACTCTGGAGTATAGTTTTGATTTAGGCTTACTTACAGCCAATTGTAGAAATATTCACTATCAACCTAGAATTAAGCCACAGTTTAAATGTAAAGAATTACACAATCATAAGTTAAAACAAACAAAAAATAAGACGATACCTTCCATGCAAAATATTGAGCTAAATGAAAAATATTCTACCAAACTACATCACTCAAGATTTAATATATCTTAATTTCAAAATCCAAAACATTACTTTTTAATTTAACAGCTGTGATAGCAAGGAAGTGAGTAAACACATTTTTAACCTCAGTAGAGCTATATGTGTTCTTCCTGGATGCACAACCCTAAGGTATAGATATAAACAGCAAGAACAAAATGCTCCAACAAGTTCTTCTATCAATAATGGGATAAAATTTCTCAACTATGAGAATTTCTGCTCCCAGAGAGTACAGACCTGTCTTACAAGCAATCGTGACAAATGGCATGGGATTGTTGCTTAAATTATTACGTGACTTTGCTAAACAGAAAAGATATGAAAAAACAAAACTTGTTTTTCTCTACTTTCACATGCACCCGTTTGAGATTTCTTGAGATTTCAATCAAAGACAGCAAAACAACTGCATGTTTAGTACTATCCAGGAAAGAAAAAATATATTCCACGCTCATTTTGGAAAACAAAACAAAACCACCTTATAAAAACCTCATATAGTCTGGTATGATATATTAAGTCCTTTCATGTAACCCCACTGCCACAAGTAGAAACATCTAAGACATCACCTGCTCTGTTATGAAGCTGTTTTAAAAATGTTTATTAAGTATTCTCCTTTTTAATACATTTCTAAACACAATTAGCCCCAAAGTTAAACAGTCAATTAAGATAAATTTTTCATGATATATTGTCAACTCTTATTTCTATGAATTGCAGTCCACTGTAATTATTTTTTTGAAATGGCAGGCAATATCCAGTCCATATTTAAATAAAGTACTTAGAGATCACTCCAGACATTATGCACCTTGAAAAAAACAAAGAGAAAAAGGAGAAATATTTTAAGTGTAAACTGTACCTGCTTTTTCCACTATGCAATAACATATTCATTCATACTTGCACTTTCATAATATTGGGAGTGTTTAGAGATGTAGATTAAATGGAAACACGTTTTAGAGTATCTGTTCAGTAAAACATTTGAACAGTCATCAGTTAATCCCTCAAGAAACATAAGGATTGCTATATTTCATGTATTTGCAGATTGGTACTGATATGCACACCATAATGTGGCCTAAGCACAGCATCTAATGACTCTAAATTCACAGTAATCAACTTAAGCTCCCTTCATACTTCACAGAAAGAACCAACTTATCTAAAGGAATATGTAAATCATCCTAAAAAAGTACACAATGGGTCATATTGACTGTGTTCCAGAAAGCTCTGTTTCTCTAATAATATATTCTTAAACCAAGTGTCTTCTTACAGCTAGGGGCATCAATCACAAAATGAAAACACATTCATTTCAAATCTTGGAAGTTATACAGAGGACTTCGTAACAGTTTATGATCAACAGTCCCAACCTATACACAGATTTATAATCCCCTAGGTACTTCATGTTTTCATCTATGGATTGTGCCTAAAGGATGTGGAAAATGCATCTGGGATAAAGAAAGCACACTGACAGTAAATTCCAATTATTGTGCAGATTCAGAAACCTTAATATAAATTAATGACTATGCAAACTATACGTGACTGAAACACTAGGTTAGTTGAATAATGACCACTATTTTAGGGATGGAGAAAAGCAAAGCATTATGGCTCACTTCATCACTTCCTTTCACTGCTTGACCTATGTTTCAGGACCTACTGAAGAAATCATTCAGGAGTATACAGTGCCAAGTTATTAGAATCTCACCCCACATTTTATTACTTTTTTTTTTTTTTTGTCACGAAAGGTGATATGCCTGTAGAATTTATAGTATACACTTTTACAAAAATAATTTTGTCTTTTAAATTGCTGCAATTATGGAATTTTTGAACAATAAAGTCCACTGATATTTATGCATATGGTTGAAGAGAAAAAGATCCATCTTCTGTTTCTAATAAAATACACAAAATATTTGGATTCACAGTTGAAAACCAGATAAACTCATCTATATTATTTTTAATTGCATGTATGTAGGAAAAAAATGTAGTTTAACGTTTCATGGTTATTTTAACGTATTTGGTGACTGGCTTTCCCTAGATCAACCTTCAGTCAAGTTAAGAGAAGACTGTGCTTTCCTTGTTATGCCATCCATACATTTTCCAAAAGTGAAATTTACTAATCTACCAACGAAATTAGGTTACTTAAACCTTCTCAGATCAGGGCTTCCCAGCCAAGAAATACCTTACTGTTGCTATACTACACTGATTTTCCTAAATACCTTGCCTTTGCAACAGTAACTATTGCATAAAACACTGTTTAAGAGTTTACAGACAAAATGTAAGTATTCTGATTCAGTTGTTCTTAGTGACGAATTTGAAATAGCTGTGTAAGTGCAGTAATTTAAATTAGGCACACGCTACTATTAAGATGGATTGTCTCTCAAGTATTGTCCATTTTATTCTATCCTCATGAATTATTCCCCCTGCCAATAAAATGTATCTTGTTATTTTACAAACCCAGTCCTTTGCAAGTAAGCTGGCTGTGACTGCTACATTTAAAATTGCAATCAATAATTCAGTTTTCTAATTCTGAATATCTACTCTGACAGAAGCCAATTTCAAAATAATAGAAAACATCAATCAGTCAATAGTTACTATCTGCAAACTGTAATTAAAGAATAATTTTTAAAGTAGTAATTAAAACATTGTGGTCTATACCACAATGAGTTTTCACAAACATTAAAATTACTTTTGCAAGAAACATTACATATACTCACTTTTAACTCAAAATTCACAATCAGCAGGTCATGACCCATAATACTTTTAAAAAAAAAATCAGTATCTTTGTTTTGCAAGCTCTTTTGTTACTCCTCTTCAGGTACCGAAAATTGTTCAGTGAGTGCAGGCTATCAGCATGAAAAGTGATCAAGCAACATACGATCCTGCAGCCTTTCAGAAATATTAAACACCAAGCAGGTGGTACAGCAGGACATATAAATGCTGCCTCCGAGAAACATCTTTGAGTCTTCCTGAACCTATCTAGTCATTTAAAGATTTACTTATCTTTTCTGCTATAAATAGGACAGTCCCCTATCCTCAAACTACTATCCACACTACCAGCTGTGAGGTTGGTATTGTTCACTGCAGTTCAGCAGAACGAGGAAGACATGCAGACATCCCTGCCCTGGCCTTACAGTGGGTAAGCTGAGCGTGAGCTGCCACCTGAGCATCCACCCACCCTGGCAGGGGAATCCGCATCTTTCACTGAAGTACCTGCTAATGCAGCTGCACCAACAATTCAGCACACAAAACATGCTTAAAGCTAGCTTAGGTGTGCTGAGCACAACTACCGTCAGTGTAATGCCACCACACAGTAACACTAGAACTCAAATACTAAAAGAAGTAGTACACAAGTTTAGACTAAATTTCTGTTAAAACACACATGTATAGATTAGACTAGTTTCTGGCATTTTTCTGAATATCTACACTATGAACATTAAAAATTGCTAATACTGCACTGAATCAAAACATCTATTTCAGGAATACTCAGCTGAAAAAAATTCCAATCATGACTTCCAACTTCTCTAAGCTATTTTCAGTCATTCTGACAGCAAAACCCTTACTACAACCTATCACCTGTTAACACATAGCCATGAAACAGAAGAAACACCTGTCATCGAAACACAAAACTGTTCTAAGAATTAATCCATGACATATCACGTTGACTGCTTTCAACTGAAAGTATGGAGGTAACCAAATTTTTCTAACATTTAAATTTTGATGAATCATTTCTGGTCTTGACATACTGGTAAGTAAATTATTGGGTACGTTTTAAATGTTCTTAGCATCCCAGAGGCCTGATGCCATAACACATGAGTGAGCCAATTTTCTTCCGAAATCTCCTTTCACTTGCCTAGGTCCCAGTGATCATGAGGATTGTTACCAATACTTCAATACATCACTCTTTGCACCATCTTCCTCCACCCAAAAAGCTATAATGCCCAAAGTTACGTTAACATATTTATGGAGATGTTAACTCTAGTATAAAGTTTAGACTGTGCTCTCTGGTATGGCAGCCTTCTGCACTGCCACTAACCCCCCAGACCGCACAGGATCACACTACTTCATCCCATCAGTCCAAGAATCATACAGCAAAGCCCTTTCACAAGTATTTCTACAAGATCACCTACTCCGTGCAGAAGCCTCCAATAAAAACAAGGTCTATTTAATGCCACAGGAAAAAAAAAAAAAGTGAAATAAATGTAAAAAGTGAGCGAAAATTAGTTTTGACCGTTTCCTTTTTATAATTAACAAATGACTATTCAACTACCTAGTACTGAATAATTCATTATACAAGGTTACACCGGTATACCAGTTTCTTCTTTCCCAGAACTTAATTCTGAAGGCTTGGTCCTATACATCAGACCATTCTTTTCTAGGCTTTCCCAAATTTATATATGATTAGAAGTACCACACAAATTTTAAACTTTAACTTCTCTATCCTTTCCCCAATAAACTGACAGAAGTCCTTAAGAATTTTCTCTCTACTTCCTATTACAAAAACCTCAAAACAATATTGATCCCTTAGACAATACCTGCGTAGGCATAAAAATGCTAAAGCATGCAATTAACAGTTCACAGCTTGTTAAATAAAATTTAGCTTTTAGCACATGACCTTTTGCTTTTAATACTATTCTATCTGATCTTACTTCCCTTTCAGTCATGTAGTAAGGCTAGTGAGAAAATATAGCTAATGTGCTTCTAACGTGCAGGGAACACTAGATTTGTTTCAATTTCCACCAAATCCAAATGTGCAATTAGAACTCAAGTGCTTCAGTCAGATTAGGATAAAACTGGAAACATTTGTTTAGGTTCAATTCATATAAAAAATGGCAGGTGAGAAAGAAACAATCAAAAAAAGACCCTAACAGTTACTTGCATGGTCACACTACTGTGACAGAAAGCATGCACTGCCAGGCAACTTAATCTTTTTTAATTTCCGCATTTGGTTTTGCCCTGAATTGATGACCACATGAAAGCAGTGATTAGGATTGCATTGGAATACCACTGTAAGAAAGATTTACTGCAGTGGATTTTCCTACAATATATAATTCACAACTCTGTTTCACCTACAGTTGCAATTGTTGTAGTACTATTTAAGTTGGCTATACCCAAGATTTGAAAGATGAAGGAAATGGGGCGTTGCCACCAATAAATTTAAGAGCACACTGTGGCTTTAGTATTTGAAGCTTGTTTTTCCATTAGTTCTATTAATCTCCCCCTCATCCTCAAACTTGAAGTCAAAGGTGTTGGCTTTCATTTCTGGTTTCTTAAGCAGTAGCTGCCTTTCTCCTGCCCTCTGACAAGATTAAACTAGAATTCCTGACTTCACCTAAACAAGTAAAACAAAAGCTGTGCAGTAACAGCTATATATTAGCTATTATATAACTATAATAGCATCATAAGGTGCACAAGAGCCAGACACCGACATCTGGACTGTGGACCTGTCCACTGACAAGTCAACGGAGAAATACCTGGTCTGGAAGCAAGCCACTGAGTCTTTTTTTTCATAACTTGAGTTGACTCCCTCTTCTAGCAAGTTCTTACTTATTACAAAGAAAATTCTGGATATCATTTATAATTCAGACTGCTTAGGAAAAGAATTCCTGTCCTTCTCGTAAAAGCAGCACACATTCTAATAATTATCAAATATAGACAAGCATTAAGCATATCCAGAACTACTAGCCAAATATAACCAAATACTAGAGTTCAAAGGTTTTACATAACACCCACTGACCCCACTCCACCCCCCTAGAAAAAACAAATGCAGTATCTTTATTGAAGAACAGGAATTTAAACAGAGGAACCAATTTGGAATATTCAAGTGCTATCTCGACCCTAACTTAGTACTTTATCTGGTTGCCAGCTGTTGAGAAATTAGTTGCAGAAATACATTTTCTAACTTGCATTTCCATAACCAGCACTCTTGCAGGCCCTTACTCAAGTCCACTGCTTTGTTAGCTATCATGTCTTTAAAAGGCGACTTTCCTGCAGAACCAGAAGAAAAATATTGGCCTGATGTTAAACAGGAGAGGCAAATTAGCCACCAACACCACTGAAAAGGCAGAGGTTCTCAACACTTTCTTCATCTGCCTTTACCAGCACTGTTGGGACCCAGGCCCTGAGAACAAAAATCCAGGTTGATGCAAACACAGACCCACTGTGAGTGAAGGAGGAGTTGGTTTGTGAACTGTTACAGGAGCCTGAACCCTACAAATCAATGGGCCCTGACATTATTCAGCTGAGGGCGTTACAAGAGCTGGCTGTGTGGCCGCTCTTCAGTCTCTGAGAAGTTGTGGAGATCAAGGGATGTTCCAGAAGACTAGATGAAGGCTCATGTCACCCCCATCTACAAGAAGGTCTTAAAAGAGGATCCAGGACATTACAGGCCTATCTATCAGTCTTACTTCAGTGACTGGTAAAGTTACGGAACAAATCTTCCTGGGGGCTGTCACAAGTCAGATGAAGCAGGTGACTGGAACAAGCCAGCACAGAATCACCAAGAGCAAACCTTGGAGTTCAGCTCTTCACAGAGCTTTGAAAACTTACCACCTCAGCTTCTACAACCATCTACACATTTCATTTTCTGTAAACTTCGTAAGAGGATCTTAATTGCACTTTAAAATTATTAATTCATGTATCTTTGCAATAAATCATTATACATATTACTGTACTATTTTGTTCAGTGTCAGATTAAACATACTGAACACAAAAACTGTGCAGTAAATTGCACACTTTCCAAAAGTTGTAAATACTTTCCATACAGAAATCTATTTCTGATTGCCAAACCAGGCAAAATTAAATTTGTTTAGAACCGCTGTATCTTCTACAGATGAGCACTAACTGTATGTTTGCATGCATGTATTTTTTCCATAAATAGCTTGGTATTAATGTTGACAAGCTATTGGTATCAGCATGTATGAAGAGCATGTACAGCCCATACATTACCCAACAATGGCACTAGCTTACATGATCCATTTTCCAAATGCTATGCATTTGTGTATCCTGCCAATCAATAATACAGAGCTTATACAAATTGCAAAATTATATAAACTATTTGGAACAGATAGAGTGATTTAAGAAAACAGAAAAGGATACAGTGCAAAAGCCAAGACAAGCAGACACCATACCACGCTGATATTCATTTCTTGTGAGGGCTTCACGATACTGTAATAGGCTTCTGTCACGACATACACAACTGTAGCTGCAACGGTAAAATCCACCAACCACTGATATTCCGGAAAATAATGTAATGCTGAAAAATACAAGTTTGTAAATGTTAAAGGTGTGATATTTTCAAGCAGTTACTGACACATATAGAATGCAGTCACAATTTAAAAATGTTTTCAATTAACTTAGGTCTAGGCAGAACCAGATCATCCAAGCAGAAAACAACAGCACCAAGCGCGCCACATTTTTTCCACTCAACCACCTGAACTTCACTCTTCAGTTATTGGATACCTGATTACTACTCAAATTTATAAGGCTGCAAGATTTCACTATTTTATTGTCTCAGCTTTTATACATTAACATCCTAAATTCAAAAAGCATACTTAATTTAGATCTCAACATCACAACAGAAAATGGTTTTCCAGTTGAGTCTAGCTGCAGTTCCAGGTAAGAGGTTTTTTCTGAGTCTCTGCTAAAGATTAAAAGCTCATTAGCAATCATGTAAAATGCTACATATAATCACTTCCTCTTTTTCTTTAAAAAAAACACACATCTAAAACTGATGGTTTGTTCTTCCAGGTTTTGTTAATATCTCCTGTAAAGCAATAAATCATTGTGTAAATTCCACTGTAAAAATTCATACATAATTCATTCATAACACATCATACTGTGTTGCATGTAGGCTGGGTGATTTACAAAGAGAGAGCTCCCATAGGGGTCAGGAACTGCAAAGAACAATTTGTGACAACCAAGTGCAGCTTGTCCCTTGCAAACACCTCACCTACATCTACAGGGTTAAAGTCACAAAACATTACTGAGCATCTGTCTGTTGACTACAAGCTACCTAATGCCAAACACATGAAATTGGACAAACTCAGGTATTTCCAAGTCCTATACCTACTTTGAAATAACTATCTGGTTAGATTCAACAGAAGTTTGTATGCATAACTTTCTAAAGACAGTCAAACACTACACTGTATCAGTACCTATAAATACTCAGGGGCACAGTTAAATGTATAATTTCCATCAAATAACACTAATTGAAACTTGTGAATGCTTTGTTTATTTATGTGCTAGCTTCAAAAAGCTCTGCAATGATGTTACAGGTATTTTCTCAGCTTAAATTACCAGTGACAGTGTAAAAGACTCCTACATAAGACTATGCTTCCTTTCTTTCTATATTAATGCATAGAACACAAGTATAAAAATGCAAATAGAAAGAAATACATATCACACATACATACACACGCATATATAAGTTTTCTGTAACAGAATGATTGGTTATGATTAAGGAATCAAAAATTACCATTTGAAAAACCAGCATGTTCCAAAACAGTTAACGCTGCTGTCACTTTCCGTTTCTAAGCATGTTATCTCAGTGTTTCAGATGTGTGGTTGAAAGGCCTAGGTTTCATTACTACATTAGATTACCTATTTTAGATGAGCAGAAAGTATAAGTTTCGACATCTGCCAATTCTCATTTTCTTGTATAAAGCTATGATGTCCATTTCAAACAGACTATGATGTGATCCTTTTAGTATTGTCTCCTATTGCTATGGATGTCTGATATAACAGATGTGATTTTTGCTGGTTTTCACCTACTCATCCTGTTCCATAACACTCCTATTAAGATGTCACCCATGGAACAACAAAGAACACTTAGCCCTAATTCTTGCTTTCTCATTTATCAGTTGTATTTCATTCATTATCTACAAAAAAAGATATTCCATCACAAATAAACGTTTGATAGAAAGAATCAGGATATATTTGAAATGATGTATTATTATTGTCTGCATCCACTTATTCTTACCGATAGTGTCCCTTTCAGTCACAGATTTTGTTTCCAGGTGAAGATCGATGTCTTTTGGAATAGTTAGGGGTTTGTTCTCAATATGACCATTATATTTTCTGTAAAAATAAATAATATACCCATAGATATGACAAAATAAGCTTTTTCCAATATATAATGGCATTTCAAATTTAAGAAAAGTGCAGACCACTTTTTTGCTAAATGCACATATTTTTATCTAGCTAGCTAAAAGCATTAATCCAAGTTCAGATCTTGAGAAACAACTACATATGTAAACGATTTCTAGCTTTATCTTGCAATGCTCTGACATACCACTGTGATATGCATTTAAATAGCTCCTATATGCTGCATCCTGAGCATGTATTAGGGCAAGATCCACTGGCCAGTATTTACTTCAGCCCACTGATTTTTCTCTGTTCAGCAAGCTACAGGGTGTTACAGTAAGCTCCCAGTCTCAAAAGGTTAGTGGTATGAGTACAGCTACAGAGCAGAATATATCCCCCCCGCCATACAGATATCCTGAAGAAATCAAAGCTAATGTGAGACTCTTTAACTGAGGTCTAGACCAGGATGCTGGAAGATGGGAGTGTTAAAGTCTTCAGATTGAAAGTAAACAAGACAAGCAGACTTGGCAGTGTTAATTTATTGAACATTCACTGGAAATCACAACAAGCAGTAATCTATCTTGAAAGATAGCTGGTAAGGAAAAAAATCAAAACCAAACTTCCCTAAAAGTATTAGGCCTTTGTCACAATAGGGTGCTTAGCAAGTACATCATGTGAACTAGACTAACCTAGATCCCTGAAAGATCCATCCTACAAGGCATCAAGGAAAGACAATTTAAAGATAGTTTTCTAATCTAAAAGGTTATGTGTAGAAATACTATAGACCTGTTTTAATTCATAACCTGCTTATGTAAAGAAAGATAAAAAAAAAAAAAAAAAAATCACAGTATTACTAGTAATCCTAGAGATCCAGTACATCCTGAAAAGAAATAATCCATCGTGCTCTTTGGGGAGATGCACAAGGCCGAGTACATCATGATACAGCATGAGGCTGTGTTCCAGGTTTTCGCCCTTGCTGCAGAGCATGACAGCAACACACAGGGGCTTCATAAAGAGTAACATGCAGATTTCATTTGCTCCTATCATGCAGGTGGCTACTTATACAAATGGAAGGAAAAGGCAACCAAGGATTGATCCTCACAGTGCTAAACCCTACCTGGCTTCCAGCATTAAGCAACGTGAGTATAATCTAAACCAAGGATTACATCTTCTGAAACCACCGTTCTTCAAATCTTAGATGAATTTGCCTAATCGCTTTCTGAACCAGTATGAAACTTGTTAAGCTGTGCAGCATGTTGAAGGCATCAAAGTTTCACAATAAGTGTCCCAAATTGAGAAATCCTTAAATCTACTCTATTAATGTCATTTTATGCCTACTTGTAACATAGTAGTAAGTTTACTACTCCCTATCCACCTTAGGCGCACACTAGACACGTACCTGTTGCAAAACCCTCCCTCAGCCAGTTCTCAGACTAGGAAACCTTATGCTTCTCTTCCTCACGTGGAAGCCTTTCTTCTAGGCACCATCACTCCCCTTTTCCAGTTCCACTGAATCATCTTTGAAATATGGTATAAACTAAAGTGTGTCTTTTCTGTATAATATGAAGTTAGACTACATTTTTCAAATTGTTGGTTACAATGCATCTTTAAGGAATAATTTTTCACAGCAGAGATACACGTAAAGAACATAAAACATGAGATATTTATAGCAAAAGCCATATTTTCATCTGAAGCTCTCAAACCATACTAACACCATGAACTTCGCTTTCCTGAAAATAAGCCACATAACTTAGACTTTAAATTGAAGAGAACAGGATGCTCTTAAAAGAACCTGAACAAAGTCAAGTTACATGAAACTGGGCTGAGAGATTACCATTATTAACTAGGGTAAAACTTACTTCATCATTATTAAAGAAAAAAAAAATCATTAAAGCAGGTCAGAAAAATGTTTTGTTAGGTTAAAAACAAACAAACAAATCAAAATCAAAACTTAAAACTCCTAAAATGGGGAATAAGACAGCAAACTCTGCCACGTTTTAGGATAGCACCTCTGAAACTAGAAAAGGAGAGGTGGATTTTCCATAGAAAGATGAGTTATTGGGACATAAGCATTAAAAAGAAATTCATGTATCATGACCTTATTTTCAAGAAATTATGTCCTCTCAGCTAATGTGTGAGATTCTTATCTTGTATTCCTATACAAGCAGAAAGCATTAATAAGGGTTTTGTGTTTTTTTTTTTTTTCAGGTTATATTAATTCTTAGTAACATCTGAAGCACAAGAATTTTAAAGGACAAACTGAAAACTGAGGATAGGAATCTAAAGCATTACTCCAAAAATTCAGGTGCTCAAGCCTAAACAAGTCCCAAATACTGCCCAGCCACTTGACTATCTGCAAGCTTCTGTGTGCTTCCCTACCCCCAGTTGTACTCTGACGTTTTCCTACTGCCTGCACCCAGGAGTACCATCATCTTGAGTGAGATGAGCATTTTGATAAGTGAAGCCATTTCAACTCAACAAAATTTGGTGTTCCTATACTTTAATTATCCCAGGGGACTCATAATCCAATAGACACAGTCAGAACATGCCCAGGATCATTGACAGCTTTAATTCAATGTAATTCATAGTAGCTGTGGACCTTTTCATTTGCCTAACAATTTAATACAACACAAACGATTCAGAAATAGAAGATCTGTCTAATACTCATGTGCTATTATAACCTACAGCATAATATACTGAAGTGTAATATGCATTGAGTAAAATGAACTATAAGTTCACACTACAGCTGTTTCTAAAGCTAATTTTCAAGCAAGTTGCTTAGATCTCCTTCCGTCATTTCTCTTTTAATTTGTTCAAATTTGAAAGGTTAAGTAAGGAGCAGGTACTAGATTATGCAAGACCATGGGCTTAACAAAGTAAATTCTTTATCTTGAAGAGACACAGGAAAATCAAATAGATTAATCCTTATTTCTCTTACATCCATTCCACATCTGCTTGGCTCAAAGAAGCACTGCATTCCATTTTGTGCAACCTAAAACAGTACATCCAAACCAACTGAACAGGAACAATTCCTACTTTACAGATCTCCTCCAGCAACAGCAGCTTCTTTAGAGGACACACAGGTATATTTATTGACTAAAAAGTAAGCATATTATTCATTCTGTTGTTAAAACAGCAAAGCAAAGAAAGCATCATCTAAGCCTCCAAGTTACCGTCTTGGTTTCTCTGAAGTTTCATATCCCCTGTGATTGACATTTACCCTAGTACACACAACTACAACTGTATTCTCTTGATTACATGTTAATATAGTAAGATAATTAGATCGATCTTCTAACAACTAAATCACACCAACAAAACTTGACTGCAGAGTCACAAAAACATAGCATCGCATTTGAAACATTAAATGTAGAAGTTTAGTAACTGAAGAAGGACTTAATGCATGTATAGGTGACTTGTGATACAGGTTCCTGCTAAGTTTCATGGTAAGTTTTCCAAATATTACAAAATCTAAGCTACAGCTGTCAGTACAAATTAACACTCCATGCTTCCACTCAGCTGAGAGCCTGGAATTGCTCTGATGAAAGTGAGAACACACGTTTTGGATGGCAAAAGGCTGGCAAGGATGAGGAAAGGCAGTAAGAGCAATGTACAATAATTATTTGGTAAGGCAATTGTGTTTTTCTGTTTAAGGCTCTTATGGGTGTAACTTCAGTAACATCATTTAAGTTATTTTACATGTGAATAATTATCACTGGTTAAATGAACAGTTATAAATTATAGTGCTTTTCACAATTATTTTGCCTCAACTTGTTACAGCAAACTGTTAGATAAAATGAGTTTCTGAATTGGAAAGAATATTGCAACACATAAAATTAAAGTTATTTAATATTAAAGGAACAGCTTAATTCTTTACTCCAAAGTATGGCAAATATGGTTGCTAGCCATGTAGCTTAAGAACTATGAAACAGAAAAAAAGAAATTACATTACACTGAACAGATTATATATGCAGTTTGTGGTTTAACACAAGTGTTAAGAATTATAGGAGAGTTCATACTAGAATAAAAGAAGAACTAAAGGAAACTTCCTTTGTCACCAAGAAGAAAGAAGAGGAGTGGGTTGGTTTGTTTTAAACATAGCCAGTTCAGAAATCTTGCATCAACATAGCCAGCTCCACCACGTGAAGATGTCTTGGTTCTTGTCACAGTTGTACTTCTGCTAAGTCCGTTCCAGAACTTCATGACTGAATGTCAGAAATCTGCTTCCAGCTTAAGCTGATAGACAGCTATCCCATCCCTCTCAGTTGTCTTTTTGCCAGGTTAAATAAGTTAAGCTCCTTTAGCCTCCTCTTTTAATACATACATTCTGTTTCCTGGATGATCCTAGCAGCATTCTGTTCACCTGTTCATGTACAAATTCATTATTCTTGAAAATGAGTGATCAGAACTGTACACAGTAATCCAGATAAGGTTCTACACCAGTGCCTTGTCCAAGGGGATTAATATTTCCCTATCTCTTCTACTAGATATACCCAACGTAATACATCCTAGGAGCACATTTACCTTTTTCACAGCTGTGTAAGAGTGGTGGCTCATACTAATCCTCTGTCGAACTAATATACACAAATCTTTCTTCAAGATGAGGAGCTTCAATCCTATAGAAGATTTGCTTTCCTCAGTCTTCAACCAAATAAATACATTCACTAAAACAAATCTAAACTTTTGTGGACTGGAAGTCATCCAGTTCTGCACGATTTGGGCATGTTCAACTCTGTTAAACTGAAGGGGCACAGTTTAGTACAGAGCTGTGACAATTAATGCAAGCAGGGCAGTCATAAAAACTAGCAGTTTTTAACTCGCACAAAGACAAAAGTTGGCTAGCAAAGTTATGTGGATCATGTTGAAAAAAAAGAGAGAAAGAAAGAAGAAAGTTTAAAACAAATATTTACCTATCTTTTTTGCTCTTCCCTCTTTGTTTCCCTGCAAGAATCCGTAGTTCCTCTTCAGTAGGATGCTGATACCATCGTAAACTAAAGAAAAAGAAAATCTCAAGTAAAACAATATCAGTATTAGCAATTTATTGTTTTTTTTAAAAAAAAACCCTATGTATCAGCACAGATCTATATGCATATTAAGACACTGGTCATTTGCAAAACCTAAGCAAAATACCTTGTGTGCAAGTACCAGCCCTGAACAGCCACAGCTAAACTTGAGTTCTCTTCAGCATATGAGATGCTTATTCATAATTAGAAAGCTTTGCTACTTTGTCATTTAAGTGAAAGCTCTTCACTTCTCAAAACACCCAATTTTCAAGTTATCATCAAATACAGCAAACAAGGTTGTACCAATATTGGAAAAAGTTCACTAAAATAATTATACCGTAATTAATATACAATAATTCACTAGAATAATTATAATTACCCATCAGAACCATATTCTAATCAATTTTATAAAGTATAATTATACCTCTCAAAAAACAGTAATTTTCCAGAATCTGGAATAGCTATTATCAAATAACCACCACCAGGTCTTTTCTCTTAGGCAGAGCAGATCCTAACATCAACACTGCTTTCCTAAACATGTCATCAGTGATATCTTCAACTCCTACTAGAAGTGCTATTAAAAAAATCACTAATTTACATGTAGCTGTTCTGCAAGTTTTTCCACTTTCACAAGTCAATGCACCATCCGTTGCTCATTTATTTAAAAGGCAAGTAGTGGCAAGGAAATTCTGAGGAGGAAATAGACTGTTAAGTCTCTAAAATGGTACATTTTACCTTAATTTTTAAGCATGTCAAGAACCCTAGTAGCTGAAACAAGGCCTTTTCCACACTCAACAGGGGAGAGTTGCTGTCCACATGTGGAAAGGATGTCACTGATCTCCATTATGAAATGCTGAGACAAATGAGCCCAAATGTTAACAGGAATAGACTCGGGAAATTTACATGGAAGTACTTTTCTGGAGCAGGAGGGGCCACTAATAGGTGACACAGGTTAACACAGAGTAATAGTTAGAGATGGTAACAGAATCCATAACCAGTACTTCTCATGTTAAGAAACCCTCATCAAGTAGGACCATTCAAATCTACATTGGCAAATTAGAGATTATATTACATCCAATTTCAAAAGATAGCAATGCAGATTTGGAAAACAAACATCAAACTCAAACAACCTCAAGCCACTTGGTAACACCTGATTCCCAGCTCTGTTTTGGAAAGGCTACCTGTCCCAAGTGGCAGTCTGGTCTACCCATCGATATATTTGCAGAATACAGCCTTTCATGTAAATATAAAAAATTTTGTCATTCTTCATGGAACATTGCCTACATAACAAATGCTGAGGGAAGTCCACTGTTACAAGACTTATGTAGAAATCAGAAACAGTCCTAAATACAAGCAGCCACAACAAGCAATATTATACATCATCTATCTTCCTTATGATGGCATGGACACTTCAGGAGTCCACACATGCTGCAAGAGATACTAGATAAAAACTATGAGAAAGAATAGGTACAATTTTAATGAAACATATGCTATCACTGAGCCTATGCCTGAGTGGCAGATCTTAAACAGAAGACCTAGCCCCTCTGTCCTGATACTGTCCTTGACACTACACTAAACTTAGCTGTAGACAGGGAAGTGGGAATGAATTAAAATGATGTGACAAACACGTTTCAGAAAGGGCTCCCAATTGCAGCAGTTTAATTGCTGGTATAATGAACCATTGAACAGGCAGTTGCACAGAGAGCATGAACATCATCTTAAAATAACTTGGAAACTGGCATAATAGGTAAGAGTTCAAGCCAGCAATATTACCAAGAATACAATCTGGTTAATAGGGGGGTTCTACAAGCCTGTGTCAATACGTACTGCTGGGCTCAAGAATCAGCTGACGCTGGGATTTCTTCAAGAGAAAATAAGTTCAGTACAAGCCAGTAATACATCACAGAGATCCACACCATTGCACGTTATACATTTCCACTGAAGGAATTCACTGCCAGTTCAAAAACTGTAAATGGCAAATACTACAGACTTTGCATGAACAAGGAGTTTGCAAGGGGAGAAGAGGGGCTGAATTTTTATTGTGGTTTTTTTGAGGCATCATTAGGAGTGAAAGTTGCTTCACTGATTTTTATCATGTGTGGTCCCAGCTGAAAAATGTTCTGTTTGCAAACTTTGCTGCAAAAGAGACTTAGTCTTGTTAAGACTAAGAATCATACAGAAACCAGAGCAACTACCTTTTCATCCAAGAAGGCAAACTACCTTGGAGAGACTAACTTTTTCCTATCTTTCACACAACCCAGAGAAAGTGGGTGAAAGCAGACGAATACTCTTCTGTTTTGTCATTCACCTTCTCCCTGATCTAAACTTGGCATGCTGAGAGTACCACCAGTAGTTCTGTAATGACTAAAATTACCTGTTTTGGAAATCCAGTTTTTCAAAATCTCTCCTGCACAGATAGAGAAATAGTACCTAATATATCAGAACAGACAAAATCCTTGTTCTGTGTACCAACACAAATCAGACACTTAAACCACAATTTGCACTTAATTAGAACACAGAATTATGTTGCAAATGACTCCTAATTAGAACTAATAGGATACAATAGTTTGGGGATTTTATAGTTAAAAACCCTACACACCTCATATTTGAACTCTCAAAACCTAAAGATCTGAACAAACATTTTCATAAAGGTAGAGCTAAAAAAAAATGTAGTTCATATCTGCTTAAGCTTATATGTGTTTAAAACTGAGATCCCACTATTGATTCCTCTGTAGCTCTGAGATATCAAAGTTAGTCTGAATAGCAACAGCAGCACAGATACGCCCTGGTTAATTTGAATGAAGGTCATAAATAAATGCACAACAAAACATCCATTTTCTCCTGTCTTCCTGAAGTGGCCTGAAAACAAAACCTAGATGAGCAACTTCAAAGTAACATTTTGGTAGAGAATGTTTTATTAGTTAAAAATGCAAAAGCCTATGCAGATACTTAGGTTGTGAATTCACTGACTTCAATAAATACAAATATTCAAATTCCTCTCAAGCTCTGAAAATAGCACTGATTGAAAAAGTCTGTCTTCCTTTTCAACTTAAGTAAATAGATTTTCAGCAGTCAATGAGATCTGTTCATTCTGTAAACAAGCATTTACATTATGTGCATCTATTCTAACAATTCTTTTAAATTTTGAGGTGTCTGCTTTTATTTTTAATGGACTTTGAATGTACACGTACAGGCATCTTGAAACTAACTGTCCGCTTAAAGAGTTTCTGGCTTGCCTGGTAATGTGTTTATCCTCCCTCCCATTTGGTAAGGGCTATCTGTAGACATTTCATACCACCTTGCTTAGAAAAGCCTCCCAAGCCCTTGAAAGACACTTAAGCCAATAACTAGTTTTGGGAACCAAAGACTCAAAGTATATTGACAAAGGAAAGAAGGAGCAGGCAGTACCTTTTCCTAGGAAAGCTGGACTGCTTAGCAGTGTGCCTGCCTGTGCCTGAACCTTTACATGTGTTTAAAACACCCCACCACCCCACCCACACAGGCCTGTCAAAGAAAACGCTGTAGGCAAAAAGACAGCACTAAAGAAAATGAGCTAACATAAAAGATAGTTTGTCAGCTAAACTAAGAAGAAAACTGTTTTTCTTTTGGCCATTAAAATTCAAATTCTTGTTGCAGTGAAGCTTCTGACTTGTTTTTATTTCTGGAACGGAGAAGTATTTCTGGCTCTTTACATAATTCTTATATTCAGGAGTTATTCAAACTGACTGAAATTACAATGAACTAAAATAGTTACCAGATAAATAGAAGAACACTGAAAAGCAACGAGATTGTCAAGGCTACTAACATGAAAGGCAATAATAAGACTCCCATTGACTTCAGTGAGAGCAGAATTCCATAAGCACAAGTGCAGAAATCCTGCTTTATGTATTTATCAATCTGCAGGTGTGCAAAGATAAAAGCAGAAAAGGATTATGAAAAATATTTGAACAGCAAACCTCTCCCTATCACTGGCATAAAGCATGCCTTAGAACAAGAACACAGAAAGTGAAAACTTCACAACAGTGAGGAACATGGGCACAATATTGAGCAATTCTTTAAAATGAACAATTAAATATTTAAATTTTGAAACAAAAATTTAAATAAATCTTTTAAATAGGACAAAAAAAGTAGAAAATGTCATTTGAATAACTGCTGATAAAAACACTATGGTAGTAACACCTTAAAAATGAATGGTATGCAATCTCATATTCATTAATGTAATATTCTTTTTAGAGCACAAAAAAGGTAATCTATATCCTGCAGATATAGTCAACAATGAAAGTTCTCACAAGAATTAAGAGTATGATTACTGTTCATATTATTCACCTAACAAGTACTGTTTTCCATTATACCTAACCTGTGGTAACTAACATGCATTTAAACAACATTCGGAGTTATTTTTTATTAGCAACTCTTCGGGTGACAAAACTGGGAAATTTAAGAAGAAAGTTGTTAATTCTGAGATGCAGAGGAAAAAAAGGCAATGGAAGATTGTAAAAGACTGGTTAAGACTCCTATGGAATACATTATTATTCAAGGATACTCCTTCAGAAATCAGGGAGTAAAGATTAGGTATTCTCAAAATTTTAACAATTACAAAAGACAGCACATTACCTTCTAATCATACAAAGTGTTTTTCCTCCCAAATGAAAAACACACAGTGTCTATGATTCTTTTAATATTTAAGATACTGATTTATATTCAAAACAGCTGCTGGTTCTCCTTGTTATTACAGATACAGCCACACAGGGAATGTTCCCCTTGCAACTCATTATGTCTGTTTGATCTATTGTTATGAGGAAGTAGTGTATTGAAATTTATACTAATCCTGGCCTGTGAAGTATTAAAAAAAAAAATAGAATTTTTAATAAATACCTAAGCACTCTTTATATGCAAAGCTAATCAGCAGGTGGATTATCAAGAACACCGAGAAAAAAATCCTTCCGTTCTTCAGTGTCTTGTATTCAGTTCAGCTTTCTAATATTAAAGTATGTAGCTTGGGCATTTAATAATATAATAGCTGGACAACAACTAACTTTATGACTGATACAATTAATAGCAATAAACAGGTCTGTTCTTTTATAGCAACACTCTCTTTATATCTTGAGCCTGTAAGTCAAGTGTCACAATGCTATGGTAATAAATTTAAGAACAGCAGATTAATTACTTTTCAAGAAAACAACCTAAATTAGTTTGTTTTACTGTTACTTCTCTAATGCATAATTGCATTACCATATTCACACACCCTATAGCAACTGTTTCTTATCTTACCTGCCACTACAGAGAAGCCAACGAGCAAGAGAATAGTGAGGTATGATCTTCTGTATGACACTAGCCATTACCATGGTAACCACCAACTGTACACCTATCACACCCTGTAAAGGAATAAGTTAATAACAAGTCATTATGTGTTTTACAAAAGTGCTGAAGTACCTTTAAAAAAAAAAAAATTAAGAACACCTTGTATGGTAGGCATAACACTTTTTGGTTCTTTATGAACTGGAGGGGGGAAAATAAATACTTTATCAGTTTTCAAGAAATCCCCTGGAAATTGCTGTAATCAGTTATATAGTTCATCAAAGGGAAAAGGCATTGCCAGGTCATGAGGTCAGTAACCTATATTTCCTGTTTCACAGACCCTATGGCCACATGTGGATGTGGCATTTCACAAGACATTATGCCTTAAAAATCACATCACTGATTACAATCTTGGGTTTTGTGGTCTCGGCAGTTCTGTCATGATTTAACAGCTGACACCACACAAACCCCTTGGAATTAACAATAATTTACAATATCCACGTCACAAAATTTCAGCCTCTGATAAGTGCAGAGCATGTGCTCCTCACTGAACTACAGGCACAGGTGGGGAAGGGAGGCAAGGGCACACAGAAATCAGAGTAGGTTCACTTCAACTTCCAATCCTTGATCAGGAGTTGGCACTTCAGCAGAGTCAGCAGCAATCTCATTCCCAGTCACTCAGCAAGCTTTAATTCTGGGTATTGGTTGTTGTTTTTAAATAAAGCAACTTTAAACTTTTAAAGCTAAATAACAAGTGAAATTTTCCATCACATTACTTTTATCTTGCACATGAAATTCTACCAATACTTACACCGTGTTAAAAAAAAAAAAAGCATGAAGTGTGCACACCATATTTCCTCTATTTACAAGCAAGATTTTCATGCTTAAAACATCACAAACAATAGTAAAAAGTATCAAACAGATATGCAAGGGAAATTTACAAAAACAGGCATGTGAAAGGACACTAAGAATCAAACAACTAAGCTATTTCCACTCTTTTAAACTGTTTTTCAGAAAACTTTCTCATAGAGAGAAATACACTTTTTCAGTCAGCACATAAATGCCACATTTAAGTGGTGGCATGTTCACCTTCACTCTTAGCTATCAAGTTTTAGATACTGCTAGTTACTAACAATAATTTGAAGATAATGCATTTCCCTCTACAGTTGTAGAAGATGGGAATTACACTTCACTACCTTTGCACTAATGCAATGTGCTATATAAGGTCAAGAGGCAAAAGTATTTCTACATATGGAAGCAGTATGCAATTAGCCACTGGCAAATAAAACACCGATTAGCTCATACACTTGAGAAACATTTTCTCCAATATTCCCCAAAGGAAGAATTAAGATTCATCCCTCAAGAACACCTCACTAGCAGCACAGCATGAAGTGCTGCCATTGTTCAAACACATCCTCTCCCTCCTAGGATACCTGTTCTCTTGGGGGAAATTTAACAACACATTATTGTTACCAGAAGTTTGCAAAAGGAAAGAGAAATTCTTACAGAATAGTGAAACAGCTGAGGTTGGAAGGAACCTCTGGAGATAAACTAGTCCAACCTCCTGGCTGTTGAGGCACAGTAGCTGCTGATTGGTTTCGTTTTGTTGGGGGTTTTTTTGTTTTTTTTTGCATCCTTGTTCTCAGGTTTTTACAATAATTGGGGCCCTCAGCCAGTAAGGGCTGATGTTGACCACAGATCAGACTCAGTTCAAGTAGAAACGGAGTCCCCTGGGGGAGCCATTTTGAGCTAGTCCCCTCTGGAGCTGTACAGTTGCCATGACTTTTCAGGTGAGTGATTGAGTGCTCTGGGTTGTCTTTAAAGCCTAGCTATTCCTTTAATTGATTGTGCAGTAATAGTTTTTCCTCTCAGAGACATTTGGATTAATTTATTAATTGCTGGAGTGCCTAATTGCTTAGATTGTACCTAAAATAAACTTTAATTACGTCCTGTTTATTTTGAGAGCCTCCACAACACTTCCACCACTAAGAAGTGGGTCAGCTAGAGCTGATTGCTCAGAACCATGAGTTCAGTCAGGTTTTGAATGTCTCCAAGGACAGACACTCCACAACCTCTCTGGGCAACCTGTGACAGTCTTTGACCATCCTTAAGTAGCTTTTTTTTCTTTCTTATGTTTAAATGGAATATTCTATATTGTGCCCATTGCCTCTTGTTCTTTCACTGGACACCAGTGACAACAGCCTTGCTCCAGCTTTCCCACCAGGTATTTATACACGTGGATAAGATGCCTCTTGAACCTTCTCTAGGCTCAACAGTCCCAGCTCTCTCAACCTCTCCTTGTATGACAGATGGTCCAGTCTCTTCATCTTTGTGACCCTGCACTGGACTCTCTCCAGTAAGCCCATGTCCCTGTTGTACTGGGGAACCCAAAATCAGATGCAGCACTCCAGTCTCCCACCAGTGCTGAGCAGAGGTGAGCACCTTTGTCAGCCTGCTGGTGATTCTCAACATAAGGCAGCCCAGGCTGCTGTTGGCCTTTGCAACAAGGGCCGACTGCTGGCTTACGGTCAACTTAATGATCTCCAGAAGCCAAGGTCCTTTTCTGCCAAATCGTTTTCCAAGTGGATAGCCCCCAGCATGTACTGGTGCCTGGCCTTATTCCTTCTCAGGAATATTGGCATTTCACTTTGCTGAGCTGCAGAAGATGCCTGCTGATCTGCTTCTCCAGTCTATAGAGGTCCCACAGAATGGCAACACAACTACCTGACAGCAGTCACTCCAAGTTTTGTACCATCCACAAACTTGCTGAGAGTGCACTCTCTTCCATCTTCCAGGTTATTAATGAAGATGCCAAGTAACACTGGCACCAGTATCAACTCCCAGAGCACATAACTAGTGACTGGCCTCCAGCTGGACTTTGTGCCACTAACCACAACAGCAGCTCAGCACCTCAGACAGCTTTTAGTCCACTTCACTGATCACTTACCTTGTCCATTACTTCATCAGTTTCTCTGCAAAGGTGTTATAGCAAACAGTGCTGAAAGCCTTGCTAAACTTAAGATAAACATTATCCACTCTTCCCCTTGTCCAAGCTAGTAATTTCATTGCAGAATGCTATCAAGTTGGTCAAGAATGACTTTCCCTTCATACATCCAAGCTGACTACTCCCAAACCCATCTTGTCTTTAACATGCTTGGATTTAGTTTCCAGGGTTATCTGCTTTATTATCACCTCAGGGATCAAGGGGGAGGCTGACCAGCCTTTAATTCTCATATTCTCATTTGTTGTGGTTTGGGCCTGGTCGGCAACCAACCCCCGCAGCTGGTCACCCTCCCTTCCCCCTCCCCACCTGGGAATGGGGGAGGGTATTAGAGGGGTGAAGGGAGACTTGCAGGCTGAGATAGGAACAGTTTAATAACGGCAATAAACAATGAAACAATGATGATGATAGGGGAAGAACAAAAGAAATATATAAACAGGCAATGCACAATGCTAATTGCTCCCCACCCGCTGACCAACATCCAGCCCGTTCCCGGCCAGCGACCCCGAGATACCAAGATCCCACAATCGCAATCTCAGGAAGCGAGAGAGAGAGAGAGCCCCTTCCCCACCACCCCTGCTCTGTACAGTGAGCATGACGTGCCATGATATGGAACATTTCACTGGACAATGAGGGTCTGGTGCTCTGTCCATGCTCCCTCCCTGCTCCCTGTGCCCTTGGGCACGGGCAGGACATGAGGAGTCGGAGAGTCCTTGAAGTCTCGGCAGCAGCTGAAAACATCAGTGTGCTATCAGCATTCTTCCCATACCAAACCCAAAGCTAAATCCAAAACACAGCACTCATCTAGTCCCTGAAAAGGAATATTAACTCTATTTCAGCCCAAACCAAGACATCATTTCTTGAAGACAGAAGTAACACTTGACTTCTGAAGTCTTCAGCAACCTCCCCTGATTGTCATGACCTTTCACAGAGTGAGGGTGAGCAAAGAGTGACCTTGCAACAACACTGGCCACTCCCTCAGAACTAGTGTGTCAATCCCACCAGGACCCTACAGACCTGTGTATCTACAATTTGTTTAAATGGTCCCTAACATGATAGTCTTCCATGGAGGGTAAGCCTTCATTGATCCAGGCTCTCTTAACAGTCTCAGAAGCCTGGGATTACTGAAGACAAGCTTTATCAGCAAAGACCAAGGCAAAGGCAGCATTAGTATCTTACTCTTTCTCATGTCCTTTGCCATGTCCCAGTCAGCAGCAGGCCCGTGTTTGCCATCATAATATTTGCTGTTCATATACTTGTACAAGGTCATCTTGTTGCCATTCAGGTTCCATGTCAAACTCAGTTTCAGGTGGCCTTTGACTTTCCTAACCCTACCCCTGCATGCACAAGACAGTTTCTCCATATTCCTCCTGGATGACCTGACCCTGCTTCCACCTCTTGCATACTTCCTTACTATGTCTGAATTTTGTCATGAGCTCCATGTTCATCATGTACATCAGGATGGACTGTTCCTGAGCTTGCAGGAGGTGATCCTGAAAGTCCACCAGCTTTCCCAGACCGCTCTTCTCTCTACAGGATTCTTCTAAGCTGAGGTCTAATGAGGCCAAAGTCTGCTCTTCCAAAGTCTAGGATTGTGAACCTGCTACTTGCCTCATCTCCTTCTCTCAGGATCCTGCACTCTACTATTCAACAGTCACTGCAGCAAAGGCTGCATGACCTTCACATCATCAGCCAGCTCTTCCTTGTTTGCAAGCCTGAGGTCCAGCAGAGCACCTCTCATCACAAGCTGCTCATTCACTTGTGTTGGGCAACTGCCATGAAAGCACACAAAAAAATCTCCTGGGTTGATTGTGCCCTTCTGTGTTGCCTCTTCAGGAGATGCCAAGGTAGCTGAAATACCCTACAGAATCAGTGTCTGGAAACCTGACAATTCTTCCCACTGTCTGTAGAAGGTCTTATCTTCTACTTCTTCATGATTAAGGCTATCTACAGCAGACACTTACAACATCACCCATGTTGCTCTGCCCTCTAGTCCTTACCCATAAGCTCTCAGATGGTTCATTATCCATCCCATGGCAGACCTCCATGCATCACTGCTGCTCTTTCACTTAAGAG